TTTTGCACCCTCAGATTCCAGATTTTCAAATAGTTGTATTTCAGCCAAATATTGTCCTATCCTAAAAAAAAAACGTACATCAATGGAAAGCTTACTTATTCAGCTTTCAGATGATAAGTCTTCAAAAAAAATTACCCTTATGACTGGTTTTGTGGTTCAGGGTCACATATTAGAAAGATTTCCATTTCATATTCTATAGGGATGCCTATCCAGTTGAAGCCACTAGATGCGGCGCTGCTGCGTTGTTCGTTCAAAATATTTGGGGAAAAGAGAACATCAATGCGGAGAAGACCTTGTTTACATCAAAACTGAAACAAGCCATTCACACAGAACACATATTTCGCACATTTTCTAGAGGGACATCTATCACCATTGCACTCGCATCTCGCACAATGGAGCCGCATGTTTAGAAAGTTTAACTTTCTAAAAAAAAAAACATATATTGAGACTTTATGGTGGGGTTTTTTCCCCATCCCACTACATCTCATGTTTTTAAATGAAAAAATGTACTCTGTGTGATTGGCTTTCCGCCCTTTGTATTAAACTATGCATACATACATGATGCTGTTTTGTTTATAGTTGTTTAAGCAACTTAATTAATTATAATTGGTTTAAACATTATTTTATACATTATGCACTTTTTTTCACAGATAGTCGTTATCTTATGCTTTGAATAAACGTGCATTAGTAATATTTTGCTCAATGCGCCCTCTTGTGGCCTCAGAAGAGAAGCCAAAAGCTATTCTTCGCCATAACTGAAATTATGCATTTTAAATTTGAATATAATTCGAATTTTGATCGTATTTAAGTGCAAAATTCGAATTTAGTTTTTCAGCCATTTTGACAGCCCTAATATTCTATTCATCAGACAATCCTTAAAAGAATGCCATGGTTTCCACAAAAATATAAAGCATAACAACTGTTTTTAACATTAATGATAATAATAAGAAATGTTTCTTGAGCACCAAATCAGCACAATAGAATGATTTCTGAAGGATCATGTGACACTGAAGACTGGAGTATTGATGCTGACAATTTAGTTTTGCCATCACAGGAATAAGTTACTTATAATAGAAACAATCATTTTAAATTGTAATAATGTTTCACAATATTACTGTTTTATTGCATTTTGATCAGCCTTTAAAACATTTACTGAACCCCTGACCTTTGAACAGTAGTGTATATCAATAGATGATTGTATTAGCCCTTCTTGATTTAGCGGGCCTCCCTTGTCACAGGAGCCTGGGACAACGTTCCCATTTGTCTCCCACCGGTGATGGCACTGAGTAGAGGAATGGAAGGGAAAAGCGCCCCACACATGTTAAGTTTCTTTCAGCCGCTGCGGAGGCAAAGCTCAGTTTTCCAGGCCTGAACACTGCTGGATTCATAATGGCTCGCACACGCCCAAGCCCTGCCCCTTCTGCCATGTAAACTGGATAAGCCATTAAAACAAATAATTTCATCTTCTCTGGAAAAGCACTTAGTGCTCTCTGATGAGAAACCGAGGCTGCCCTCAGCCGGTAGTAACCATAGAGATTTTTTATTTTTTTCAGTCCGATAAGACTTTTATTTCTTCTCAACGAAAATCTAATTATTCTCTCAGTCATTCTTATCAGTTTATGAATTTACTGGCTGTGGTACCAGAGTGATTCTTAATGCTGAGGGGATTAGCTTATAGTTAGCTTTGTACTCTCATCTAAATAGATGTGCTTTAGCTCGGTTCATTATCTTGATGCATCTTTCCAGTAATAGTGTGAGTTTGTCTCCTCACATTAAAGCTCAGAATTAAACGCAAGTGGTGTGGTATATTTATCTCAAAGATGTCTCTCTCTGTCATAGTGGAGCCGAAGGTGTATGTCTCTGCTGGATCTTCTGCTCTGATCGACGGTGGCAATGAAACCACAGTGGCCACCTGTATTGCTGAGAGGGCTCGGCCCCCTGCCGACGTGTCCTGGGAGACGAATCTGTACGGCACGTCTGAGGCCCACATGCAGGACGATGTCAACGGCACCACTACGACCCAGGTGCACTACACCTGGCAACCCTCCCGTCACGCCCAGGGCCACACGCTAACATGTGTGGTCAAACACCCCGCTCTACAGAGGGACTTCAGGATACCCTATATCATCAACGTACAGTGTGAGTATCGGATAGGGTTTTTTTATAGTGTGACAAGAGTGTGCGCATGATTCTGTTTATGCAGTATCCGTTTTGTTTTGTTTTCTTTTCTTTTATGTTTTGCGCAAATTTACTAGCCATAATTAATTCTTATTACCAGCTTCGTAGTTCATTTTATTCAATAGAAATAGAGCATAGAATAGAATAAATATGGAATAAAAAAAAAACCAATACAATGTTTTTTTTTTATTAGAGCACACTATTATGTGTAACTGTTTCACTATTTGGAAAGATGTTCTGCTATTCATTGTTCACTTTTCACAGTTTCACTATTTTGAAGAACCTTGTGGAAAATGTGTTCTCATGAAAGTTTGTACATAAAAAATGTTTTACTTACATTGTATACATTTTAAAAACTCATTTGTGTATATTTTATAAAATATATAAGTTTTTCTGTACTGTTTCTTAGTTTTTCGCTTTATAATTTTGCAATTTAAGAGTGCTTTTACACAAGAAATGCAATTTAAAGTTTGCTTCATTTAGTATTCACACAACAGTTTTTTGTGTTGTTAATTTAGTATATTTTTTAAATTATTATTATTTTTTAAATACTATTCCGTATATAATTTACAGCATTTCCTTAGAAGGATTGTTATAAATAGTAAAAATTAAACTGAAATACATCCACATCCACATGAAATGGAAACCAGAATCATATCAAATTGAGATATTGTGAATCAGAGTCGATCAAATATGGAAATCTGTATGGATAATCAGCCCTAGAAGCATGTCTTTTTTTAAATTTGCTCATCACTTAAATCAGATTTTTTTTTAAACTGCGAGAATCAGACTTCTTGCAATTTAAACCATGCAACCACTTATCAGCCAATTGGCCACTAAACATATTTACTTCCAAAAGCCAAACTTGACTCTCATTTGGTGCTTGTTCCTGTGTGCACGCAAGCCTGTTTTTGTTTGCTCAATCTAGCACAACAAACCCAAAGTAGCTTCTCCATGAAGATTTCACAGTAACTTACATTTTGTTTTTTCTATACCACGTCAGGCAATCAGATTTATGTCCAGAGCTCACATCTGTTTTCCATATCACCCCAGTGCGGTAACTATCCACATGACATGATGTCTTGATGCCGTCTTGTGCGTGATGGAGCTAAAAGCCCTTTTGCTAAGACACAGTCCTCAGAGTTTCATGAACTTATACTGAATACAGGTAGTGATGCTTCAGACAAATGATTTATCAGTGGTGTTTAACGATTTCTGCACACAGACTTCTACTAAGCTCCATTGAGCAGCGAGGAAGGCGCATAAGTGTTAGGGGCAGGCACAGGAAGCAGCCGGTGTAGGGAGTATGAGGAGGGAGAGGTCACATCAGTCATTGGACGACGCTTCTGCGCTCAATGGGGGCTACAGTCACGGAAGCATTTTTCTTTCGTTTTCCATCCATCTTTTTTCATCTCATAGGGTATATATAACCTCTTAATTCAGCACGCTCACTTAAAGAACTTTAAAGAGCTTTTCTAAAGGCACAAATCAATACTGTGTCCATTGTCTTTGTAAGTGGTCTTGTACTGCTGGTCAGACACACAAAGTCCTAATGATGAATTATGTTGCTTTATGATCAATTAGTAATAATAATGTTGTTGTGTTATAGATTGCTACTTTATTGTTGTACCATTTGTCATGGATATAAAAATACGATATAACAGAGTGAAAAATTGAAGGGGGTCTGAATACTTTCCGTACCCACTGTATAAAAGATGTTTCTGCCTTAGCAAAAAATAAGGTAATTAGACTTGCAAACTTCATTTCTCATAATTGTTTCTTTATATTAAGAAGTTGCTTTATAGCTACATTTTTAGAGCGATTTGAAGTCCCTTTGTTAGATAAAAAGTCGCATTTATGATAAATAGTCTCAAATGGGAGACAATGTCAAAATTGCAAGATTGTGACTTTAAATCTTGTGACTGACTTGGCATTTCTACTAATTGTGACCTTTTTTCTTACAAATGCAACTTTCTCACAGATTGATATTATAGTTTAAATGTAATGTCATGTATTCAAACCACAAAAATTAGTTGTAGTTTTCTTTTAGTCCATGTACAGTATATTACCTTATATAAAAATTAACCATGTTAAATTTAGTGTTAGTATTGCTATAACAAAATATAATTTATACAGTACAGTTATTTAAATACCAAATGAAAAAATATATATTTGGTATATAATTATTATATATTTACATATATTATGTGGGTGTGTGTGTGTGTGTGTGTGTGTACAGATGTGCATATTTATATTGTGTACATCTGTGTACACACACGTACATAATCTGGACCAAAAATATTAATGATTTATTCTGACTGCACCGATTTTTATCTAAAGCCCCCTAATACATAACACATGGCAACTGGCAAATCAGCATGGCATCTGGTGATTTATGGCTGTGACGTAAACTAAGTGTTTTATGTCTTTAAAAATTGATATGTCCTGCCCAAACTTTCTGTTTCAATAGGAAATGTGTCAACACAGGACAAGAAAACTGCACTTGTCATGTCATTTTATAGGGTCTTTAACAAGGCATAGCCTAGCCTTACCTTTCTTAAACTACTCTGAATGATCCGTTTATGCTTTGTGTGTGTGTGTGCAGTTGCTCCAGACATCCTGGTGCTGGGCTATGACGGCGACTGGTATGTGGGCAGGGAGAATGTGCAACTGAAGTGTCGAGCCAAGGCCAACCCGCCTGCCCAGCACTTCAGATGGATCAGGTGTGTAACCACTATGTCTGGAATGGGTTCAAGAGTGTACTCATCGCAACTCAACTCAACTCAAAGCAACAGATTATCTCTACGATTCACAACACCAAGAGTAGCTTTCAAACTGTCAGGTTTCAATGCAAATGACCAGTATTATGAGTGGATGCCCAAGCATTCTACTTATTCAAAGCAAATCTAATTCTAGGAATCCACTAATCTGTTAATGTTTGTCAGTATTGTTCACGAAGTTAGAAGATTGCACATCAATCATGTGAGCTTAAACAATCTGCCTCAAGCAGTCATAAATGTTTTGACAAACCATTCTTTGAGGAAAATAACTGCAATGGAGTAATTTTTGAACTATAAAATGACACGGAATGGGAGTCGTGGGCAAGCAAAAATATGTTTAACAAATCAAAACTTGTTGACACATATGCTAGTCACTTGTTGGTTTGATTTTTTTTATCAATATCTGGTCCAACTAATCCGTTTCACAAAAGCTTTTCACTTCTTTTTTTCTGCAATTAACCATTAATTTAGTTGGTCTTTAAGATCTTTAATGGACTTTAAAATCTTAAGAAACGTGTTTTCAGTCAAGCTTTTGACTGACATTCTAGATTTCTGCTGCTACTGACATTTTCCATAGTGCCTAGGCAGACTTGGATAAATGATAGAGTTTGATAAAGACATGTTTGCATGTTTTAGGTTGGATGGAGAGATGCCAGATGGAGCAGAGGTGGTGAATAACTCTTTGGTGTTTATGAGACCCTTGCAGAAGAACGACTCTGGGGTTTACAGGTGTGAGGTGGCAAACGATATCGGACTGCACAGCCGAGACATTAGAATACGTGTTCAGGGTGAGTAAGAGACTTGAAACATGACACCCATCTTACCAAAGTTTACCAGTATGTTTCCTATGTGAAACTGGAGAAACAATGGTAAAAAATAACATAAAAACTTTACCAGTCAAATTTATTTTAACACTCACACACACCCATTGTTGGTGTGTTGAAATGTTGGCCTTAATCTGAAACGAATGGACTGAGAATGCCGTATCTGGTTTTCTTCAAGGGAAAGTTCACCTGAAAATATTAATTCCTAACATTATTTACTCATTTCAAAAATGTATGCTGTTTGTTTTTTCTTTTTTTATGAACAACAACATGAGGGTGAGTACATTTTATTTTTGGGTGAACTATTTCTTCGAGCCCCACAGATCTTCTTTAGAACCCACTGATCTCATCACTCAGAATCACATGGGTCCGGATCCATTTTTATGAGGCACACAAGCTTATAATCATTTTCGTGAGCCAGAGTCCTTTGCCTGAAAGGCATTGGTCCTCCATTTAAATTCATTTTAAGTTCAGCTTTGGCTTTTTAAAAAAAAAAGTTTTGATGGGTTTTTATTGGGTTTCCTGAGTCATTGTCTAATTGACCTCTGAGACAGGTGTTCTCTGTCACATTCCATGAGGTTTATCTCCCATCATTTTTGCGTGAACATTAAACATCGAATACTGTTGTTTCATGAGTTTCTGTGATAGTCACCTCCCTCTCTCTGTTGCTCTTTCTCCCTCCCTTGTGCACACTTACATCTCTGAGACTGTCACGCTGTTATACAAGGGGAGAATAGAGCGGAAGCAACCTTGACTGAGAGATGTCCTAGATTCATGAAACATTCACCAGCTCTTTTCAACCACCATTAATTATGTATTTTCTTTTAAAATTTTCTTATGCTCTCCCCTTGAGAAAGATTCCGCTTCTGTGTGCATGAAGCTGCGTTTCTGTGCGTGTTTGGTTGTTTTATGTCAAAGTTGTCTGCGTCTATCTTCTAAGAGTTCCTTTGCGTCATTTGAGTCGTGATGTTTCTACTATAATGCCTACTGCTACTGTTTGCGTATTGACGGAGTGAATGTGGGTGTGAAAGTGTGTGTGCTGCTGATGCTGATCTTTGTGCATGAGTATGGGTGGGCAGTACCTGTCCTGCATGTTAAACACCCTGCCGCTACCTGTGTGGTCACCAATCACCCCCAAATACACACCCACACACTCCCTCCAAACGGGTTGATCCATACAGTGTATGGACAGGAATGGGGTACCACATAAATTTGGATTTTATGGAGGCACATAGAAGAGAAGCATGAGAGAGGGAGGGATTTCTGACCTTTCCGTGACTTGTCCTCTCTTTATGTCCTGTTCTCTTCCCTTCTGGACATTGATGTGCTGAGGCCAGAAGGTCTACGGTTTATTGATTGAAACAAATTATTCTTTAACTCGCTGGGCAAAATTGAATAAATTAAAATAAATTGACATTATACATGTCCCTTGTGGTTTAAGGGGATAGTTCACACAAAAATGTAAATTCTGTCATTATTTACTCATCGTCATGTTGTTGCAAACCCATATGATTTTCTTTCTTCTGTAGATCAGATATTTTGAAGAATGTTCATGCAGGTCTTTTCCATGCAGTGGTGTTTCATAGTGTTAATCTCCAAAAATGTGTAAAGGTAGTCTTTTATGATTTGTGCGCTATTTTTCAAGTCTTCTGAAGCCATACAAAAACTTTAATTGTCCAAAATGTAAATTGTTGTCCATGGAACTACTGAATCATTGAGTCAGTGATTTGAGGTTCCGGTCTGTGAACAAACTATTAAGGTTCTTGAATGAATCATTCAGACTTGGTTCAAAAGACCAATTTGTGCACTGATTCAGTTCTTGAGTTCAACTCACTGAATCATTGACTCTTGAGTGGTCATATTAACTATAAACTGTCGTGTGGAAAAGAGCTGTGAATTTTCTTCAAAGATTCTCTTTTTTATTTCACTCAAAGAAATAACCATGACCAGGTCAACAAAAAAAAAAAGAGGGTGAGTAAATAGTGACAACCAGGGCTGTCTAGACCATGCTCTGCCCTTTAGATGTTAGGATCAGCCTTGGTGATAACTTAGATTTTTGGTTGAACTAAAAAGCTGCTCTTTCCTACATACATATACATTCACTCACCAGACCCACAGATGCATCCAAATTACCTTTAACCTTGCGGGAACAAAACCGTCCAAGAATGCTTTATGTATGCTATGTTTATTATTCATTCCAGCAAGGATGAGCAAATTATTCCCCACTTTAGCTGGAGCATTTGAACCGCGTAACCCTGAAGAGCTTGCAGCCCTGACTCCTGAGAGTGAACTCGCACGTTCTGCACTCTATGCATGCACACACTTCACAGCCAGCCAAATAGCTCTCATTGCGCCGGGAACAGGACACTCCCGTAATGGGATTGTTTGACTTTCAGCTTCCAGTCTCCAAGAACCTTCTTGCATAGTCCAGATGCATGCCCCAGAATGCGATGAAACGCTACACGCTGCTCCATAACACAATCAAGCGATCAATGCATGGTAATGGTGTTAACGCAGTCTTCTACCCAAGCACCATGTTAGCAGTTAGGCGTAGCAGCCACCCAATCCTTGGGTATTCTCGACGTCTGTCCCTCTCCCCTCCCCCAGTAGCACGTACCCTTTCCCTGACCCCTTCCTTCCATTTAGTTTGTTCTCATCACTCAGCTATGTGGTCATCCGTACTCCCTCTCTCAGCTAACACAAATGTTGCTCATTAGGTTTCATTGTTGCAGATGACTGTACTTCAGTGTTAGCTGGAGATGTTAGTATGTAGCTCCTCATGAATCCCTTATCATGAAGATCCCAAATCTCCTTTCTCTTCCATGTTTTTAGTCATCTTTGCTCTGGACAACAGTTTCAGGTTTTGAAGCCGTCTGAAGGTTTGCAATCGCATCCTTTCAATAAAAAACCTGGAACTATTGCATCCAAGGCAATAGAGGATAGTCCTGTTATTCATGCTATATGTCATGCTAGAAGATATTACAATCTTGGAAGCAGATTCATATGACCGTTAATGATATACTGATGTAGCTGGCATTGACATTATCTACTTTTCTTTGTCTATCCATCCCTTCCTCCTGCCCCCTCCCTCTTGCCTCTCCTTCCTTCCCTCCATTAGATCCTCCCTCAACCACCACCATGCCCCCCACCACCCCTGTGCGCCTCCTAACCGCCGACATCTCTGCCACCGTGCCTGGCAATAAGCAGCGAGCCCTCATAACGTCTCCAACCCTGGCGCCTCTGCCGGAGGGGAGCCTAGGCACGATTGTCGGTGGGGCAGTAGGCGGAGCCCTCTTCCTGCTGTTGCTGCTTGTTCTAGGCGGAGTTTATTACCAGCGTCAACGGCAGACATTCCGTGGCGACTACTACACAAAGCAGTATCATGGCCCCTCGGATATGCAGAAGGCTCCCCAGCCCCATGAGCTGCAGCAAGTCTACAGCAAAGGAAGCCCTGACACCAAGCTCAAGTCCAACCAGGATAACGGCACCATCTACCCAGATAAGGATCGAGAAGAGTGGGGTGATTTCGACCGAGAGCGATCACCCAACGGTCGCAGCAGAGCTCTGAGGGAAGCAGGCGGTCAAATCAGCAACCTTAATCATTATTAGATCCTCCCTCAACCACCCCCATGCCCCCCACCACCCCTGTGCACCTCCTAACCGCCTACATCTCTGCCACCGCGCCTGGCAATAAGCAGAGAGCCCTCATCACGTCTCCAACCCTGGCGCCTCTGCCGGAGGGGAGCCTAGGCACGATTGTGGGTGGGGCAGTAGGCGGAGCACTCTTCCTGCTGTTGCTCCTTATTCTGGGTGGAGTTTATTACCAGCGTCAACGGCGGACGTTCCGCGGCGACTACTACACAAAGCAGTATCACGGCCCCTCGGATATGCAAAAGGCTCCCCAGCCCCATGAGCTGCAGCAAGTCTACAGCAAAGGAAGCCCTGACACCAAGCTCAAATCCAACCAGGATAACGGCACCATCTACCCGGATAAGGATCGAGAAGAGTGGGGTGATTTCGACCGCGAGCGATCGCCCAACGGTCGCAGCAGAGCTCTGAGGGAAGCAGCCGGTCAAATGAATCACCATAATCATCACAACCTTGAGCACGGCTATCACAGCGACCATCACCCAGTCCAGCCGCAAAGCTTCAGTCCAGCCCATCATATCCAGAGGAGCTCGCTGCAGCCGGAGCCCCGCAGGTTTGCCGCTCCGCAAGTCATGAGCAACGGCTCCCCCTACCTGCCGGAGGACTGCTACGACAACGACTACGTGTCGCACACGGATGGCTCAATGATCTCCCGGAGGGAGTGGTATGTCTGAGAAGAACGAGCAGGAAGAGACTGCGTAAACACTTACGAAATGCTTCAGACTGCAAAATGAGGACGATCAGAATTATGTAAAGAAAATTAGTAGGAAATGCACCTTTTCTAGTAGTTTACACCTACTTTTTTTTGTTTTTGTACATTAGCCTAATCATTAGTTAGCTGGCTTAATAGATGTTTTGGGACCAAGTGAGGGTATAATTCTCGTCTTCGTTTCTTAGATTGGTGAGGCAACAAGACGTCTGCTTTATGTTTCACCGATAAACCAGTTCAGGTGTGATATAAGTTGCCAAATCAATAGCCAGTCTCCTTTCCCTTGCACAGTGAGGTGAACTGTGTGATTTATTTAAAAGAAAACCGTTAGAACAAATGCAATTTGTATTGAGATAACCTGTCGTTAAGTGTCGTTAAGTGTTTCAGATCAGCCCAACCGTGAGCGATGAGTTTCGATGAGTCATGTCAACTTTCAATGCTGTCACTCTGATGGAGGCAGAAATTAGCTCCTGTCAACAGCCTGGCGGTTTCCATGGCAACATTTATTTCTTCTCTACTGGCATACAGAGTTGCTGTAGGGAGGAGCTAGACAGGGAGGACCGTGCTGGATTTGATAAAGCCCAATGGGCGAAAGCCAGACAGGATGATTGCCGAAATGGGGTGGCTGTAATTGTATCAATTCATCTTCCATTTGCATAACCCTGCATCACTGTATTAGCTCTGGATTTCTTTTGTTTGTGCCATCAAAAATGGAGTCTGTCTGCAGGAGACGGTTGGACAATGTACATTAAAAACTACTGCCATTGTTCAACATGAAAGCTTGTCCCATATTAATGTAGCTGTCTGCTGTCTGTAATATGTAAATCCAATCAGCTGGTGTTAACCAACAGTGTTTTGATGAATCGGCTCATTGCCTGTGCAATAGTGTTCAGATTTCCAGTCACATTCGCGCACATAATTTAACGCAGAAGACGATAGCCTAACACACACGTTATTGGTCATTAAACTTGTGTTGGCTGGATCTTAATGAGCTAGCAGATGCGTATGTTTGGTTTTTGAGATATTGGAGATGATATTGTAGTGCCTTAAACTGAAGACGTGCCCTGTAAGCATTATAAAGTGAATGCAGAATTTACGAGCGAGTGAGTATCATTTTCAGAAGTATACGAGTAGTTTTGAGGCATGAAGTGGTCAGGTTGGGTCCTGAGATCATTATTTTGTACTGTGCTTTGTTCACCACCTTGTTTTGTGTGCCATTTGCTTCTTTCAGACAATAACTAATTGTTTTTTTCGCATTAAATGACGTGTGACACTTGAGTCACGGTGCACATCAAAGAGTTATGAACTTAAAATGTCTATGTGTACAGGTTTGGGTGAAGAATTCGATGAAAACAAAGTTATGTATATATGCTGGCAGATAGGAGAACCTTGTTTTGTTTGTTAGTTTGTTTGAATTTATTGTTCCTATAGGAAGCCTGAGATTCAACTGTGGAACGCACTAGAAAACCCACCATTACACAGATTGTGATGAGAGGATCACACGTACACTTCTTCAGAATCTTTTCCACTTTTTTTGTTTTACAAAAGAGCTACTGTAACAAAAGAAAATATAAAAATAATTTTAAAAAATGGCAAGGAAGAAATGTATTTGCAATGTATAGATGATACTGAGCATTATTTTGTAAAATCAACCTTTGGGATACATTTGTTTTAAAATAAAGCACCTTTTTTTCTGTGACATGTTTCTTTCTTTTATAAGTTGGCCTCAGATCCATTTCTTGCTGGTTGGAGGGGTGATTGTTGAGGGCTTGGGTGTGACTGGTTGCTTCAGCTGCAGAAATGCTCCCTGTGGGGGTCTCCTCTACACTCCTGGAGGCCTCCAGGGATGTATTCCTCACGCCCACTTTTCCTTTGCTGTGGTTAACCTACTTCATCTCCAAAGATCCCTTCGTGCTCTAAACCTCATGCATATTTTGTGGGAAAGCCTGTGGCTAAAAGCTTCCTGTGGATGAGGGTTAAACTTCCTCTCAGACTTACCTAGGATAGCCCTAAAGTGGGGTGGATTATGGACTTGTTGATTCTTGTGTTTGCACTGCTGTTCTGTCGATCTGTGTGAGAGAAGATGGGGGAGCTGGTTGACGAAGGGAAGATCAAGCACAGCAGTGGGACTAAATGGTGTTTGAGTGGTTGTTGTTTCATAGCCGTTGGAGAGTCTGTCATCCTGTCCAATCAGCTGGTGGTGGGACAAGCTAGTAATTACAGTTGTCAAAAGTTCCACAATGAGTTCATGTCCAAAGTCGGCTCATAAAACATGCCTATTTATATAGCAAAGAAGTGTTTTAATGCTTTGGACCATCTTGCACCCCAAATCAGGGGAAAACAAGTGTCAAAATAATTACCTATTGTTTTAAGTAATGTACAAATTGTCCTTGATTTATACCTTTTATCTTGACATAGCCTCGATTTTACTATATATAGGGATGCGCTGAAATTAATAAATGTAATGAATGACTTATGTTTTAGTACTACTTTGTACTATTTTTCTTCAGTATTTTGTTTACTGTTTCACAGATTCACTTAATTGTTTTTAAATAATGTAAATCTAAGTGCAATCTAATTGAAATTATTTTTAGAAAATGAAAAGATTAAATTGGTCAAAAGTTATAGTAAAGGCATTTGCATGTTACATAATGTTTCTATTTTAAATAAATGTTATTTTTAAATTGATATTCATCAAAGAGTCCTTGGGGGAAAAAAGTTTTACATTGCCAAAAAATATGAAGCAGCACAACTGTTTTCAACATTTCAAAACAATGTTTCTTAAGCACCAAGTTATCAGCAGCATATTGAAAATCTTTCTGAAGGATCATGTGACACTAAAGCTGAAAATTCAGCTATTCCATCACAGGAATAAATGACATTTTAAAATATTGTAATAGAAAAGTCATTTTGTGTTATTTCACAATATTTCTGTTTTACTGTATTTTTGATCAAATAAATCCAGTCTTGGTGAGCATATGAAAATTATTTTTAAAAACATTTTTTAATGCTGGTGTACAAAAATAATTACATTTTTATGAGTTGATTCATTCTATATTGGTGCTTTTTCTCATTTTTGTCAGTCAATCAACTTGTAAACTACATGTTGTCCTTCACAGGCCATCAGCCTGAGAACCACTTCAACAGAAGCAGCACTGAAACTTGTTCTTCTGAACAATGCCGTTAATTAGTTACCTCAGTGATAAGAAATGACACAAACATGCTCTTTATTCCTTCGAGAATATACAGAATAGAGATACTTTCCTTCCTTCAGGTATCTTAAGTCCAGGTTACTGTATAATTCCCTGGAAAGTGAGGTTAGCTCACTGAAAATAATGTCATTCATTATCTGAGCAGTCACACTATCACGGGTGAAGAGGTCACTGTCTCTCACTGCACTGTTTGAATAGATTCTATAAGGAGCAGTATTACCCCCTCTCTGCTCCATCAGTGCCTCTGATTGGTTAAATTAGTCCGGTAGAATGGTTTTGTTTGCCACAGCCCCCTTCCAGGCCATTGACACCATCCCCATGGCAACAGACTCTTCCCGGGCTTGTTCTCTTGAGGGATACCTGTGCCTCCTATCTCAGAGAAACAAGAGGGCTTAGAGAGTGGATGAAAGAGGGCAATTCTGTGGAAAAAAAGGGAGAGGAGATGGGAAATGAGGGGGAGCTTGAAACAGAAAGTCAAAGATGAACCAAGGTTAAAAAGGAGAACTGGGGGACGATGCAACATAAATGCATGCGTGAAGCTGAAATATGGCATTATAAATTCCTTCTATAAAAGATAGACACTTTAAAAGGCTGTGATCTGTCATTGTGAACAAGGCATTTTCTTCCCTTTTTTTTTTTTTTGCTTCCGGAGGATATTTCCTTTGGAAAATTTGTCATTTTGTGACTCTTTCTGCTTCTCAGATATCCATCTTTTATGACATATTTTTCCACTAATACATCATAGTGGTCATGAAATCGTTCCCTCAGTGGTAGGCTGTTATTAAATGTTCAGTGGTCCATTTCAGAGAGTCATTTATCAGAACTAGAACACTGGAAAGTGTTACTGCACTTGTTATTTCACAGTCACATATATACTAGGTGGTAAATATGTAACCAAATCGGCCTCCAGCTGGTTCTCAAGATATCGTGTTAAGACAAATATATAAAAACACAAATACTAAGCATTATATGCGTTTCCTTTCCTGATGGTGATTTTTTTAAGGCATCAAACATAACCAATCCATAGCTAAATGTTTATTAGCCATTTTTCCTTACACCCAAGAAGAAATTTCCTCAGCTTGGCAATAGTGTAAGAATTCAATGTGAAAAAAGAAGGAAAATAATCTCTCTGATTTTTATTCTGGATAATATATTTATTTACTTTAGACTGTGAATTGCAAATAAGTTGTGAGTCGCTGGTTTGTGGGCGATTTGGAACTGAATACCTTTGAAATTCTTTTAATTTAATTTGTATTAAGGTAGCAAATGACGCAGAACTGCTATTTGAATTTGGATTGAAGAAATTAGAATTAAAACAGTTTCATACAATAATTTTTAATTATGACTTCGGAAAATCTTGTCAAGATTGATGTTTGAAAATTTAGGAGAAAAAATTATATAAAGACGTCTTTTTTTTTTTTTTCTTTTTTTTTTTGAAGTTGTAATTAAAACGATTCTTGGATTATGTTTTACAAAAAAATTAAAGATGTAATGATTAATTCAGTGTTACTTGCTGTTTCTTTGTAATAGTTGCTATATATTTTTTCAGTGCATAAAGAACCTTTAACTTCTGTTGAAACGTTTTTTTCCACAAAAGGTTCTGTTTAGTGTTAAAAGGTTCTTTAGGTTATTAAAATGTTCTTCACGCAAGAAAAAAAAAGTTATTTTTTTTAATGTTCAATGAAAGGTTCTTTGGGGAACCCAAAATGTTTCTTCTATGGCATTGCCGTGAAACCACCTTTTGAAACCTTTATGATAGACAGGGACCACCCAGAATCAGCTGCTCTTCTCAACAGTCACACACACTATAACCCCTTCATAAAAATCTGGCAGTTTAAACAATGGCATTCACAACAGAAGATGACCTCTGACACTTGACCCACCTATCTCCTTTCATTTACCGGAACAACTCTTTTGAAATCACTTAAGCGGTGGTCTTTCTCTCGTCTAGTGACCTCTATTAGGACAAACGTGTTATATTGAGTCATTGAGCCCTTTTGGTCAGCTGCATCATAAACCTTTGCCCTTTTCAAGGACGTTTCTCCAGTTCCTCCCATTGCCCCACAGACTGTAGTTGAGTTTCACAGTAATTAAGACTCATGGCTTGCGAACACACAACAGAATCCCTTTCCGGTCCAAGACAGACACCCCTACCTGCACTCCAATATGGCTATCAGATGTCAGCCAGCAGGGAATGCCAGCTTTCCCCATGTAACATTTACCAGAATGCATTGTGATGCTTTATCCCCCACCCAGCTCCTGTTATCAAATACCCACCGAGAGTGTTGAATGAGTTACGGGGTGTCCGTGTCCCATACGACAATCTGAGACCCATAACACTCAGTCTAAGAGAAACACCTGATCCCTTTAATCAGGTTTAAAGATGCCTGCCACCCCTCCACCGGCTCCAAGTGAGTGTGAACTCATTTAATCCTCCTTTACTATGGGATCACCTCTGTTCTGAGCCTTGAATTTCCCCGCCAGAATCTAGAAATCTTAAATCTGCTTGTAAACATCTCTTAGATAAGATGAGAGGACCTTCAAAGGGTACGGTTCAAGTCTGGACTCACCTGTGAAAAGTCTTAAGTCC